GCAGCCTCGCACCGCCGTGGCAGTTGACAGTGATACTTATAGCGTGGCGGAGTGCCAGGCCGCGACGCAGCTGTACCACCATCTCACCGTAATTGGTGCGCGGAAAGGCTGTCATGCCTCATGAGCGCGCACACACCGCGCAACCTGACCGCCTCGTCGACAGACTCGGCCCGGGCGGCTTAAATTGGTAGAAACGCTGTCAAAGTTCTGAATGGCATTCATTCTGCGCCTCCGCTCGCTGTTCAAGTCCGGCGGTTATGTTGTAATTATTCTGTAGTTTGCTATGTAGGCTTGCTTGTCGAGTCTGTTAAATCAAGGTTGGGGTGTACAAAAATGTGATGTGAAAGCCTGCTGCTACAGGAATTTTCAAAAGTAATGCTCTGTGCTGTCGGGGTGGGACAAAATGTCCTAATTGTCCCAAGTACGCAGTGAGGATAAAGCCGATCGGAAAATGGATAGATGGGAATGTTTTAGTACAGGCTAACTTATGTTATTACTGTAATGGGTGGAAAAAAGGTCAGCTGATGCCGCATATACATCACATTTCTTTCAATTTGGTTCTGATTCCTTGGAGGTTGAGGTCCAAGTCGAGGGTCCATTTTGCAAGACTCAACCAGTCCGGGTCCAATACTAATGGTGCCAAATTCTCGTGAGATCACACGGCGTCGAGAGAAGAGTTTTACCGTCGTCGCTTGCCGCCGTGCGCTACCTGATGACTCATTAGCAAGACAAAGAAGTGACGACAAAAGCTTTTCCTCTCTGCAGCTAAAGACTCGATTAAAAATTCCCGACACTGCTTTGCCTTGTTGTCTCTAGAAATGACTGTTTTCTGCCAGACCAAATGAATACCTTACTTCTTAATGGACAAAATCATCAAACGCAGAGGAGCTGGCGTTATCATTTCGACATGAAAATCTGATCTGAAAGCAAGCAGGAGGAGCGTTTCGGTGTTGTGGAGGCGTTGCGGCGCCACGTTTTCAGCTCGGTAGCGGGGAAAAAAAAAATCCTCTGCTTCTTCTCCTGCACGATGAGAGCGGTAATTGAGACGAGAGGCATTTTTAAGACCAGGCTTCCAGTCGGTTGGGTCTTGAGTGCAATTTCTGTGAGTAGTAGGGAAAAAAAAAAAAAACACAAACATAGAGGGGGATTATTTCATCAGCCAAAAATCATCTTTTCTTGTTTTTTGGTTGGCCAGAGCCTGCACTCAAATCAACCTATTTTTCGTCATCAGAAAATCACAACTTCTCATGCACTGTAATTTTCTCGAAAGCCAGATGAAGTCATCATGTGATGTGAAGATTTCTTCCCTGATTCCCTGATGATTTTTTTTTTTTCTATAGCTCAACGTTGTGGGTATTTTTTCAGAGCACACCTGACGACCTCTGACGGCACACCGGGTTATGAATCACCGCTCTACCCGAGCGCTTCCCTTCCCATACAGATGGCTGCCAAAAAGCTGTCCTCGACTTGACTAGCCTTTATAGCTTGACAAGTGCAATGTTTGGTGGCGACAGGGCTGATAATAACGCCTCAAGTGACCACAGTCAGAGGGACGAAGCGTGGGCGGTAAATCCGCACCAGCGTTCCGGCACACATTCTGTATGTTTTCATTTCGTGCACACGACGTTGACGTCCTTCGCGCCCCGATGCCGTGTCATTAGGGTCGAAACATCCCCGGGAGCAGGTTTTCCGCAGGGCGGATTAGTGCTTGCGGCGGCCGCTTATTATTCAAAGATCAAGGAAGGAGAAAGAACAATGCCACGGCGTGTCACTCAGCCACTGTGCTCTGCTGCGCTAATCCCATATTTGATGAATAAGTAATAACCTGCGCGGGTCTTGTTTGGTTTGTCCGAGAAGGACATTTTGTCCCTGATTCTGTTCAATAAGAAGTTTTCAGTCAGTGCAGTGCTTCAAACTGCTTTGAACCCTTTCAGGGTCAGCGGTTCCTCCAGTGGACAGTTTATCAGGTTGTCATTATTTGCGCAAGAAAGGGTTCATGTGGACGCCGTACTTTTCCGCTTCAATTGTTGAATCACGCTAGTGAAATGAAGCTCTTATGCCTATTAGGGTAAAATCTCGACGCTGGAACGTTCATCACGGATACGTTAACAGATTTATTCCTGTCAAATGAGACACCTTGGTGACAGCGCAATTTATCAGCGGCGAGAGCACAGGAGGGATTAATAATCAGGCGGAATGTTTGTGCTAGGGGAAAAAAAAAAAAATTATCAGACGCAGACAGGCCACATCGGGGCGATTATGCGCACTTCTCATCTACGCGAGAAGCAGGAAAAACGGGACTGAATCAATTAGGAATTTCATTCGAGGGAGCCATCTTCACAAATGACGATTCACTTTCGGCATCATTACAAAGCCCGGAAGCATTTTTTTTTTTTTTTGTTGTTAATGCGGCGTCAGCACATTGCAGCAGTCGTAGGTTTGGATTAAGACAAGCTCACCGCGCACACACGTGCTTCGTCAGGGAGGCACCAGAGCCCGGGTGTCATCGGGTCAGCAACATATGGATGGCCTCGAGGAGCTCCGCTGTCTTTTGTGAAAACTCTCCTCTCGACGTCTGGGTACTGATTCATTACACTGAAAGTAAGAGTCAACATTTAACAGGGGAGTGCGTGGATCGCCATCGCGTTGTGGTGCTACGACGTAACAAACGTGTTCCTCGGTCGGGAAGTGCATAAGATGTAGCGTATTTTCCGCACTAGAAGGCGCTTGGGAGTACTTTCCATGAATTTTAAAACAGTTTTCATACATAGGGCGCGCCGCATTATAAGGCGCATAGAATATAAGCTCCAAGAGTGGCTGCGGTGGCGTTATCCATCCACTAGATGGAGCTACTCGAAAGTGTTTGGCAAAGACTCTCCATAACCTCCACTTACAACCCAGTCTCGACTTAGCACCTGCGCTAAGATCGTCTCTCAGTTGAGATGCATCAACAATACTTGTTTGATACCAATTACTACTTTCCTATTGGCGCCATCTTTGGTTGCAGAAAGAACACAATTGTGATCGGCGGAGCCCTGGCATGCAAAAATCTGTGGGGGGTGGGGGGTGGGGTCGGTACGGAAGTGCCACCTACTGTGAATATTTTGTCGAGAACATTTTGTAACACTCTGAAAGGAAATATTTGGAGTCACCTTCAGCAGCATGGCAATCACATTCATTGCTCATATCGTTCTCTTCTAAGCATTTGAGGTGACAACAACATTTTGCTGTGAGAACCAACACCTGCTGAGCAGCCCATCTTCGAAATGGGTCGAGGATGCTCTCTCGGACGAGCGCATGTCCCCTTAACGTGTCAGCCCTGATTTACACGTGTGCCTTTTGCGATTGTTTCTCTTAACGATTATTTCTCGATAGGCTAAACTGCTCCCACTGTCACCCCGAACAACCTCCCCCCCCACACCCTTCTTTAGTTACTAGGTAACCATAATTCGGAAAACGGATAATGGATGATGCCACCATCGTCAGTGCAGTCGTTTCACAAGAGCCGCAGCCTCCCCCTTAATAGCTATGACGTCTGTAATCTAATTCATGGAATGTAAAGAACAACATGAAAAAAGCTTGGTTATGGTCTGGAGTTGCTTTTCTGCATCATCCGTTTCGTTTGTAAAACTATCTGTAAATGGGAAGTTGCATAGCAACAAATCTTAGGACGAACCTGATAAAACATAACCTCCCTTGGCGGAGGGAAAGCAGCGGGTATTCGAAAGAAAAATGTGCTTATTTTCAACCAAATTTACGAGTGTTTTTTTTTGAAGAGGTGCAAAAAAAAAAAAAAAAAGTATCATAAGCAGACAAGGTAAGATAAGAAATGCACTATTATTGGTGTGACTTTGTATCTTACTGGGCTTTCTTCATCAGGAGACAATAGAACCAGGCAACCTTTTTTTTTTTGTCAACAGGATATTGTGTTTACATGCATCAACACCGAGATGAAATACTTGAGTGGCTCGGAATATTAACAGGATATTAATGTGCATCGCAGCAGGGGCGGGGGGCGGGGCTCGCGCTTCTCTGCAGCCGGCCACACAAAAGTGGTCAGCGAAAAGCCATTTTCAGAGGCGATGAGCCTGCCGAGGGCAGGACGGACGCTGCTTCAGCATCCGGTCAAGAGCACCAAACGCTGTCAACTCGAGCAGCAAGCGATGTTGTACGGCTGGCATCGATTGAAAAATGTACAGATTGCCAGGTTAGCCATTTTTGGGCGACATCACCAGCTACTGGCCTGGCAGGCATATTACAGCGTTTTCTGTTAGCCGGGAACATTTTGAAAACAAACAGAGCAAAGAAGCCTCATTTGGTTCCGGCCCGAAAGACAGAATAAATACCTTACATTACTTCCGTTTTATTTATTTCAGAATTTGAAACATGCTTTATTTTGAAAAATTACCAATTCTCTGTTACATCTGTCTACAGTATGTCACTTATGACGCAGGTCAAGGCGCGCTTCTCGGTCACGTGATATGTTACCGCTAAAATGAAACCCGGGAGCTAGCAAAACAAGTAAAAAACAAGCGTCTTTGGAAAGTTCCTTTGGGAAGCGGAAAAGGCCCAGCTCGGAAACAGAAGAGGAGCCTGCGACTTTCAAGAAAGAGAAGGCTGCATTTAATAGACAGTATCAGAAGTATTTCTTAAAAGACGGATTTATCTCGACGGGAGATTCCCACCCCACTCTGCATAGTATGCGGCGATGGTGAGTCGTATTTTTCATACGCTTTGTATTTACGGCGTATGTGGAACTGGGAGTCGCAGCTTGGAATTGAAGCGGATTTACATAGGACAGGAGAAGAGAGCCAATCTCTTTTTCGTTCATGGATGCTACAGCTTCTTGTTTCTTTCAAGCTTAGCTTGTAGCGATCTTAATTTGAAGGCACGTTTAAACGTTACCATAGCGACCAGAGAGTGTTGCGGCCAGATTGGACGTTCCTCGTGTCGTGATTCGTGTTTATTGTTATGTTTAGAAAATACCACCGTTTTCATGCATATCATTTTATTTTGTTGTATTTATCCGTCACGACTTCAAGGCCGGTCCCTGAAAATATTGTCTGACATCAAACGGGTCCATGGGCAAAAAAGGTTGGGGACCACTGCACTAGAGTACTGCTGTCCCAGAAAGGGTTCAACAAACTGTATTCTTCTACTTTGTGCCACTCAACTGCTTGGCAACGCCGCAAAGCGCTTTATTTCTTCTCACTAATTGACTTGTCAGTCATCGCGAGGACGTGGGCGACGGAAGGCGAGGCGAGCATAAAGGCAAGCCGGCCGCTTTGGGATGTGAACATTATTTACACTAAATGAGGTCGAGACCCTGAGACAAACGCGGACCGCCGAATCTAGCTGCTTTGCGCACGCCGCTTGGCGAATAGCGAAGCGGGTCATTGTCTCGAAATACCAGCATTAAGCGGCATTTCGAGACTCGCTAAACTCATTCATTCAGCTGTCCGCCGGTCTCTGCACGTCGACTTTGTTTTTGATGAGGCCAGCCTTTGACCGCCGCTTCCCGCGCATCTGCCCCAATCGGAACCCTCCTCCTGGTTGCCATGGATACAAGCCGCCAATGAGCAGGCAGATCAGAGTGCAAAAGAGTTCCAATCTTAGGTCGGATTCTTGGATCCGTCTCCTCCCGGGCTTTGCTACCTATAGAACAAGCGAAGCGTTCTCTGTGAGTTTTCACCTCGTGTCATTTGGTATGTCGGTGAATATGCCAAGGCTCTTTTCTGTATGTGTGTGTATGTCTATGTGTGTGTCTGTGAGCATTTGTCCAAGCGGTTGGAGATAACGCGGCGTTCTGATCCACTTACACGGGCCGTTCTTTTTCTTCGACTGAACTGGCGGCGCTTCGAGGACTCCGCTGCCTGTGCCGAGGTCACCTCCCTCAACGCTTTCATGTCTTTTTGTGTTTCCTCCAGTTGGCGGGCTTCATCTACGCCTGCTACGTGATCAAGCTCATCTCGGAGGAGGAGGACAGCTGTGAGTGCACACGCGCACACACACACACACGTCTGTGGCATATATTGGGTGCCCCGACTGACGAGTTTTGGTGTCGTCCACATTGAAGTCTGAGTTTACACTGACCCCCATAGCGGACAAAATGGCTTCAGCACTTGACAAAAGAAAACGACTGGAGTAAAATTATCTTGCTGAAGTCGTTCTCAAAAACCGAGAGTGATGCAATCAATAAAATAAAGCACTGACTAAACAGTTTTAAAGGCCGATATGAATCCGCTCCCAAATAACGTCAGGGCTGACCAGTTCCTTCTGCACCACAGCATGACAGTCATCCAGTCTTTACAAAGCAGGTTTACTCAAATGCGTCTAACCCACAGGTGTCAAACTCAAGGCCCAGGGGGCCAAATCTGTCCCACCACACAATTTTATGTGGCCCGCGAAAGCCAATCGAGCATGTCAACTTCCATGATGCTTCCTAAAATCCGTACCCCAATTTAAAATGATCATATGTAATAAAAGAGCTGTTGTCAGCATGAAAATGGGACTCTCCCTACCAAAATGGCAGAAAACATTGCGTAAAATAAAAATACAACCAAAAATATATATGTAGAATAATTTCCAGGTCGTTTTGCGGCCCGGTTTTTCAAGGGGGCTCGACAGTCTCACAAATTCTTGAATTTGCATTTCTTGTGTATGTAGTCTTTCATGCAGTTGCCACGCAACTACCCTTGAATGACACACCAAAGATATTATCAGTGTCATCTATTCAAACATCTCAAGGGTGTACTGAAGCACACTCAGGTGTAAAACCATGTTAGGAAAAAAAAAATTAATTACATTCTTTGCGATGACAACATTTTAAACACCTTGCATGCTGGTAAATCTCGCCGTGTATTAAATACGCCCGAGGCCGTCGGTGGAGCTAAATTGCAGCAGAAGTTCTGATGGTAGATCGATGAGCCGCCATATTTTATTCAGTAATATATGCGGAATGACCGACAGCGCTGACCGGCAAGAAATGAGACAATGGATATTCCTTGGCAAGCGCAAAGTGAGGCAAAAGTTTGATTTCATGGATACGCAGAAAGAAGCGTCTGGTTGTATTTTTCGAGGTTATTGAGACATGACCAAACTTTTACAATCCACTGAGGAAATAGCGCTTTAGTTCAGTCTGAATAATTGATGTCCTGCAGGGATGCCCTTTGCTTAAATGTGGCACTTCGGCCACTGGCATTCGCCAAGCACTGAGAGAGCCGAACGAGCTCTTTGGAAGAGTAAAACAGGCTTTTTTTTTTTTATCCCCACATCTTCAGTTTAAAATCGTTAGCAATTAATTTTGTGTTCGCGGGCCATAAAACTCATCTTGGGTCACACGTGACAAAGATCGAGAGTATCAGCCAACTTGGTAATCCCGCGGTTGGAATGAAATTGATTTTCTTTTCATTGTTTTCCGTATGCAAAAAAAAAATAAAACAAAATAGTTTAACTGTGTCAACTCACACGACATCGCTGCTCGGCTAACTTCGCCACCGTTCTCCTGAAAATAAATAAATAGAGGCATTAAAAATGATTTCCGCGTCGAAAACAGTGTTCGTAAAAGTCGTTTTTCATTACGTTACAGTAATTCGCTCTCTGATAAGCCTTCGAGCTAATGGATCTGTCAGTCAAACCCTGCCTCGGCGGATTACGTTCGGCGCGCCTCGCTCGTGTCTGAAACACGACGTGTCCCCACTAATGCGGCCTTCCTGCATTCTACCACAAATGCCCTGAATTTGAAGTCTCAAACCACGGGATGTCAAGTTGTATTGTTCACATTTGGTAACCGTCTGACAATTCTTCAACCTCATATTGGGGTCTGAATTTTTGCAGATTTTTCTGCTCAATGCTCTGAAATGGCTACCTGACATCAAAATGGCGACTTTTTTTTTGTGGAGCTCCTTAGGATAGACAGAGTCCATGTTGCTGAATTATCCATCCATCCATTTTCTAATCCGCTTGATCCTCACAAGGGTCGCGGGGCGTGCTGGAGCCGATCCCAGCCGTCTTCGGGTAGCAGGCGGGGGACCCCCTGAACCGGTTGCCAGCCAATCGCAGGGCACACACAGAGACGAACAACCATCCGCGCTCACACTCACACCGAGGGGCAATTTCGAGTGCTCAATCAGCCTGCCACGCATGTTTTTGGAATGTGGGAGGAAACCGGAGTACCCGGAGAAAACCCACGCAGGCACGGGGAGAATTTTGGGGTGCTGAATTTAAAAAAAAACAATTTTTAATCCTTGGGGCCACTACTGAAGCCCATTTTTGTTTTAAACCCAGTGCCACCACTGTATGTTAAACGTTTAATGTAGTACAAGGTAAAAACACTCTTCAAACCAACACAAAGCTCACACAGAAACAAGGAGGGCGTATCGACTGCTCTCAACTGAGCATTGTCACATTTTAACCCTTTCAAGGCCAACGCTTAACTACAGTGGACAGCGGATCATTTTATCAGGTTACATGAAATAAGTGACTCTTTTTCAGGAACTCCCGATATCTGCATATCTGCCATTATTAAAAACCGTTGACAATTATGGGAGTGCGCCATCTTGCCATTCTTTCTCCCGGAATAATTTTTTTTTTTTTTTTGGGAGGGGGGGTGAATCAATCGTAATCGCCTCTGCGCTCTTGAACGCAGCGAGGGGAAGAAAACGTCGGCTCGATAACGCGCGGGCTGAACAATATTCGCGGCCAATACAGGGGGGCGGGGTGGGGGGGTGGTTGAATGGGCCTTGGGTGAGGAAGCTAATGCTCACCGAGGGCCCTTGTGAACATTCGGAGCTGCTGAGAAAGGTAATTAGTCTGATAATTATTCCGTGTGTGCCTGCTTCAGTCGGCCACATTCTAATCAAACCCTTGTATGTTGGCAACACACACACACACACACACACACACACACACACACACACACACACACACACACACACAGTAGCTCAGGTTGTGTGTCAAGACGCCGTCAGGGACTGCCGGACTGCAGCATGAGTCAGCGGGAAAAACTCTCGCCGCGTCAAAATACGGAATTCCGGCGGTGGCGCTGATTGCCGGTATAACGATCCGAGCGGTGTCGAGTTGTGGCGGGCGCCCGTGATCCAATGACACCGTCAGCAGACAAAAGATTAGCGGTTGTCCTGTTGTGTTTTATAATCAGTCTCGCTCATGAATACATGAAAAGGATTATTGGACTATTTGTGACAACGCCAGGAATAGAGTAAAGAAAGTTTCGTGAGGACAAATACTTATTCTTGTATATATCTACTCTGATTAAATGTCAAATGTCTTTTTTTGAGAAACGTCATGTCTTTTTTTTTTTTTTTTTTGCTTTGACTTGAGCAAACATCTGATATTTACACGATGGTGCGAGTGGATTCACTTTCTAAAAAGCAGCCGTTTGGAAGATCACAAACGACTGGTCAAAGTAAACATCAAACAAAGAGAATTACATGTGTACGGCATTTAAAAACCAACAGACAAGGCAAAAACGCCACTGACACGCTAACGCTGCCGTTGATATGTTGTGCATTTTAAACACCCGCAGAATTTTACTTGTCGTACACTCGCTTCATGCTAACACATAATGAGAAACACCATAAATCAGCAATATAAGGAGCATCCGTGTGGTGTAGTCCTTTGCGAAAAACCGCAAATATTTCAGCAGTTTTACCGAGTCACTTACAGTAGTCGTGAAAGTCTTTCTTTGTTTGTGTCTGCATGACTGGATTGCACTGCCTCAAATAAAATGTAGTTCCATTTCCCACAAAATGAAAGGCACTGCTGTGCAGACCACGGGAAATAAAACAGAGTTCAGTTCCCCTGGCTGGTGAAGTGATCTTGTCAACACTCATATTTTGCACTGGACTGCTTTCAAATGCTGATTGTTGTTGGTAAAATCTTATTTTCTACCATCAACACTAAACACACCTTCATTTTCCCGACGTTTCATTCAATTCAGTCATATTTCCTCAGAAACCTGCAGGTGTTACCTTAACAACTGGTTTCTATGTGACGGCTCCATCCCGCATGGGCGTCTGCAAATTCCGCGGGAATAAATCCTGTGCGGCGCGGGTGGAAGTGACTTTTAAGGAGCTCTCTGACATCAAAGTGAAAAAGCATCTCACTCTGATGCAAGCAACCACCTGCCGGCTGCCTCTCGGCTGCTCCATCCGAGATAATTTAGGGCCTGCATGTACGTGCGTTCCCAAGGCGTCGTAAATAAATGGCTACGCGCTCACACGCGCGCGTCTTGATGCCGAAATAGCTTTGCAACACACAGCGAGAGAGCTTCCAAAGGGCATAAGTTGCCATGGGATAATTAATGGACGCTCTTCCTTCCCTGTACAGTTGATTTTATAGGCGGATTCGACTCGTACGGCTACCAGGGGCCTCAGAAGACCTCCCACCTTCAACTACAGCCCATGTACATGTAAGTAGCGCATGTGTAATTACAAAGCATTTCATGAAAGATCACAACGTTCCAGACCACCCACACCATGTTTTTATAGCATTTATGGCTCTTCATTTTTTTTTCCCTCAAGGTCTTGAAACACATCATGTCTCAATATACATATCAGTAATTCTTGCCAGATGTACACTATAAAATGAATTTACAGTCGCTACTTTCTGTAGGCATAAAAAGCAGGATTAAAGAGGATTGACTTTCAAGAATCTTCAGCAAAAACTCGCCTGAGCTGAAATAACTGTTTCCTGTTTTCATTCGTCCTTTTTTATAAACAATGTTTCGCCATCTAGTGGTCGACTGTGGAATTACAGCCACGATAAACCGGAGGCAGAGCAACATAGAATTATGAACTGTACTAAATAAACCTGCGAAACAGCGAGAGCGTGGACCTAAAAACCCGCAATGAAGGGATGCTTACTGCATATAATAACAAATTTGCGGCGTTCTGACCGCTCGGCCCATTATCGTAATCGGCCCAGTTCCGGAACAAAAGTACATGATCGGCATATCTCGAGCAAAGCCTTTCATTGTGAATCACAAAAAACAAAACAAAACAAAACAAAACAAAAAAACTATCAGCTTGTCCCTTGCAGCATTAGGTTTGGAAGGGCACAAACAAACGTAATTAAGAATAATCAATTTAAACCTGGAACCAGAGCTTTTACAAACCTCATTTTACTCAATTCAGAAGATGTCCGCTTATGCGTTTGAACGCTTCCATTAAGATCAGGATGATGAAAGGAAGAACAGACGAAACCAAGACGAAAAGGAAATAAAGGCCCAGGATGTAGTTTGATGTCGCCTTGGTGGAGGCGATAACACCTATCGTAAATCATCAGCCCGCTTTAACGCAACGACTGTCACACTTATAACACTTATAGTGACACACACACACACACACACACACACACACACACACACACACACACACACACACACACACACATCATCAATATGCTCTCATTGTTCCCACAGCTGTTGTTCTTTCACTTTGGTTTTTATTGGCTTTAGCCAGAGGGACCAATAAATTGTTGTGTCCCGGAGGAAATATATCTCGCTCTTTTCACACATAGCCCCCTCTGGCACACACACACAAAATCAATCAGTAATTTTATCTGCTTAAAAAAAAAAAAACAACAACAAAAAACGATCGGCAACACTAATTTATTCAATTTATTTCAGAAAAAAATGACACTGGAACAGCTTTTTTTGTTTTGTTTTTTTAATGTGAGATGCAAATTAACTGACGACGATTACGAGTCTACTCTCGTTTTTTTTTCTCCACCACATCAGATTTTCATCATCATCATCATAACAAGAATCAACCCAATAATATATTGCTGTCCCTGACAAACAAATGCACAAGCAGGGTTTTTGTGTATCATAATCTAAATGTCTCCACTTGTATCTTTCCAGGTCAAAATAAGACGAGGAGCTGCCTTACCACTTCTTGGTTTGTTTATAATGCTGGCAAACAAACAAGGACACAGAAGATTGAGACTCCCCGCTCCTGCATCACCTTCCCTGACTTCCTTGCAGTGTCGCGTCTATTGCTGACGGTACAACACTGACCTCTGGCGGTGGAAGGCAGGAACTACAAGGCACGGGAATAACCTGCTTCCATTGGCTGGTGGATTTTTAATCGTTTTTGTTGTGTTTGTGCATTAGTGGATCATCAAAACCCGGTTGACTTTTTGGGGAACTCTTTTTTTTTTTTTAGTGCCTGACAGACTTACTGACACCAAGTGTACGACCAACTAAGGAATGTCAGATAAAACGTACTCCTGGTCCACGTCCAGAATTGTTTGGATTCTGAATGTGACTAAAGACGATATAAAAAAAAAAAAAGAAAAGTGAATCTTAATGTTTACAGTCCAAGGCAATGCAACGAGGAGACAGGCAAATTGGTTTTTTGTGTGTGTAGTCGGGCCTCTGCTGTGTAATTCGTCTTCCGCCAACAAACAACAAGCAGAGTGCCAAAGAACACAAGAAGCATCCATCCACAACCATGAAATCTTCCAAAGGCCCAACAAATTAATGACAATCACGAATCCCTTTCACACCGTCTGAGAAAGCCGACAATGTTCGGAATGCGTGGATGGCGTGACAATTTTCCAGCTTCAAAGGTAGTATCAGAATAATAACGGAGTCGGGACTATACCTGTGTGAGAAAGTGCGGGAAATTTTAAGTCTCTGTAACATGAAAATAATGTCTCCAAAATTTTGCGCAATACTGCAATGAATGATCAAAACCTCACCAAGTATAAAAAAAATGAAGCTTCAAATTCATGAAAAATAGAGATGTTGTGGGCGTAATAGAACATTTTAAAACTCTTTAGGTAAAATTTGCATTCAATTGTGCGTGATACATTTTGAAAAAAAATCCTGAAAATAGTTTTTCAAATGCTCCACCATTCAAACTTACAATCATGCTAATGCAAATATGATACTGTATTTGGAACTTGGTCATGTACTTGGAGAACTATGGATTTTTTTTTAGGCGGTACTTAGTTAAAAAAAAAAAAAAAAACAACAACTCTTAGACCCACTGGGCAAGCCCAAATACCTCATTTAAAAAAAAAAATCCAAATTTAGCTCTTGAGGTCAAACGTATGCCGACTTTCCCGTTCATCCTGCAGACATGCTCCATAACAGTGCACTTGTGCCTGTAAATGTGTCGTCATGACACTAGACTGCCACACTTGAATTTTGATGCAGCCTCTGGAGTGTACCGATGCGCACCACAACGTATGTCAGGAAAGCAAAATGTGATCGCCTGCTAGTTGGACATTTTGGACTCTCTGGACCAAACATTGGAGGCCTTCCTTGTTTACCATGCAACTCTTGTACATGGAGGCTTTAAAAACATTTTCCTGAAAGGATCCAGCCCTCTCTGGAGGTCACTGGTGAGGACTTCAGAACAGTGTGTGTGTGTGTGTGTGTGTGTGTGTGTGTGTGTGTGTGTGTGTGTGCGCGCGTGCGTGTTTGCATGAGGTGTCACCAAGCTGTTTGCATAATTACTATCCTCATGCCGCTCATGCGTGACTTATGACTAGCTACTACGCTAAACGTCTTCAATGTGAACTTTGTTGTTTTTCTATTTCACTGGGAATTGCCCAAATGGGTAAATAGTTTAAAAACAAAGAGAGGAGAAAAAAAAACTGAATTGTGACCTTGAACTTCTAGATGTTTTTTTTTAAATAATGTGTGGTGGGGGGGTGGGTTTCTAGCTGACTAATAATGTATGATGTCGTGGACAAGTGGCCCTGTGTTTCATGTGAGTGTGTGAAGTTAGAAGGTGTTGCGTTGAAATACAAGTTTGATTTGTTCTTTGACACCGTTTGCAACTCAAAAGTCTTGTATCTCAAACTGTGGATCTAAGATTTTTGTGGTTGAAATAGGTCTTGCCATTGGCGTAGCAATAGACGTTTTGCTACATTTATTAAATCACAGGCAAGTAGCGCTGAAATATTGAGGGGAAAAAATGGCTGGAAATGCATTTTGGCTTTTATCCCCCCCCCCCCCAAAAAACATCTGATCTTATTTTTATGATGAATTATTTTAAATTGTTTGTTTTAAAATTCAGAATTTGGTGTGTGACATTTCAACCTCCCAAATTTAAGGAACCAAAAATATATTTTTTCTTTTTGTTATTATGGAAACATTCATAAATGTGGAGTATTTAGAACAGAGCCCTGTGGCACTCCTCACATTATTATGCCGTTCAGTAAGCAGATGGGGACTATGATGTCAAATCAAATATAGATGATTAAAGTTCGGAAAAATGTTCCAACCAAACTGTTGGTTTAGCAATATAGACTGGATGTATGATATAAAAAGAATATTTGACAAAAATAATACTAGAAGTTGACCTTTAATTGAAGATTACTTGAGCAAAAGAACTTTTAAAGAGCCCAAACTACCCCACCCCTACCTCCTTGAAGTTATTACATCAATACATAGTAATGCTCTAAAAATTTTTGTGTATTTGAAGACTTTTAAACCCTCAAGTTTCTGACTAAAGCAATTTTCATTAGCCAAATTACCCACCACTGGTGGCCTACTTTTGTGCTGCGATGTGCACTTTGCCAGTTTTATGCCCTATAAGACTGTTGTAAAGTCTTTTTAACATTGTCGGCATTTTCAGAACAAAGCGATGGGATTAAAGTTTGGTCCTTAAGCCGCATACGAACAGCACCCGAGAGCCTTCTTCAAAGTTCAAGTGGTTGAAGAGGTCATTGGATCATAAAATGAGAAGTCACACAAAAATGTTTTTTTATTTTATTCTTACATTTTTTCATCGATAAGGTTTCGACAGCTAGATCTTTTGTTTTATATATCACATTTGAAGTGATGGTGTTTGCTCCCAGTGGCCCTTGTACATCCCATCCTGCTAACTTGGGGCCCCCAGGCTCCTTATCTTGAGTCAACAGTCTCGAACGTGAGTCTTAAACTGGACAGTGATTTGAAATTAGACCGGCAAATTGGTACTGTTGTTAAATCCAGCTTCTTTCATCTCAGGTAGCTTGCAATAGTAAAGCCTCTCCTTTCTCAAGAGCACTTTGAAACAATAATTCATGCCTCCACCGAGCATCTCCAGCTGGCCTAGAATGCCGCTGCTCGCCTCTTGACTGGTACTCAAAAGAGGGAGCACATAACTCCTACGCTGGCATCCCTTCACTGGCTCCGAATACGTGTTAGAGTTCTTTTTAAGATCATGTATATTTGTTTTCTATTAGAGGTGCCGAGAACTAAGTGGAGGCTCAGAGGACATTGACCCTTTTCCGTTGCTGGTCCCTCGTTTTGGAATGCATACCTGTCAACTCATACGGTTTAGCCATAGTTCATACGGATTTTGTGGTGAATTTTACGTATATGGCCATATTGCACAAATCATACGGATTCTGAAAATTTCCGTTTTTTTTTTCCCCCCTAACAGGTAGTTCCGTTTGCTTTTGCCCAGAATGGTGCTAGTCTCCTCGAATGCTTTCATTTCCGCTAACTTTCCAGTAAATCACGTGGTTCCTTGTTGAAAACATCAGAGTATTCATTGCATACTTCGGTAGTGTACAAGCAAGTTCTACAAGGAAACAAATATATCATTCATATTTCGTGGGTTTTTTTCTGCCGTTATTTTGACATATAAAATGCTTTGGTATGTTATAAGGATTTTTTTTGCTCTTTATAAGGATTTTTTTGGTAGTTTATACAGGTTGGTGCTCCAAAAAGTTGACAGGTATGGGAATGACCTCCCGCTGATTGTGAAATAAGCCCCCTCGCTGTCCATCTTTAAAACTTGTCTTAAAACTAATCTTTATTCTTTGGCTTTTGACTAAGCATGAGACTTGCTTTTTAGTTTGACTGTTTTTGTGCTTTCTACGGTCTTCGTTATTAATTTGTTTTATTGTACAAGTTATTTTTGCTCCATGTAAAGCACTTTGTATACAGCGGTGGTTGTTTTAAAGTGCTCTATAAATACAGTTGAGTTTAATTGAATTATTTTCGAGAACATCCACCCATTAATCCATGCTCGGTCACGCGACAAAGGGGATGACTTCTACGCCCTCTTGTAGGCCGTTTGCGGTACTCCACGTACGTATTCAAAGCGTGACGTCCGCCGTGCTGACGTCTACCCGGAAGCGCCGGGAGCAGTTGTTTTGTTTTGGTGCAGAAGTTGGTTGACCACCTAGGAGGCTTTGACAATGCTACGGACCGACGCCGCACTCTATAAATGGGTCAAGAGCGCCCGGTGATGGAAGATGACGGTCATGCGTCTCACACATGTAAAACGCCGACGCTCATCGGTGCTTTGGAAGCGGAAGAGAAGGTGAAATCGTCACTGGGAACTAATCAAGTGGAGGCGACGCTTCGAAATTATTTGGACCGACGGATCAGCAGAGGGAAGTACTTGCCGGACGACGACGAAGAACGACGCGTAGAACAACAAGGAGTACTCGAAGAACAAGTCGAGGAAGAGGGGGATGCTGAGGACAACAACAACAATAACTGCAACGGAGGAGGGGGAGACCGCAGAGGAGAGGACACTCTCGACTTTCTGAGTGCCAGTTGGCTGGCTTCGGCGTCACCCTCTGACCACGCCGGTACAGACGCTCCGATGCAGGGCGGTGCCGAGGATGTCCACGGTGACAACGCCGCCGTTTGCGACGTCACAAGAGACTCGCGACGCGACCAGAGAAGACAACCGGGACACGCCGGAGTTCAAAATAAGCCTCTCCTTGCCGAATTAACCTCTTCGGACTTTGGGGGATTTGAAATATTTTCTCTTTTCGACACGAAACATGAAAAATGTGACACCGGTGTTACTAGTCGACGTTCGGACCCGACTTCGAGCGCGAAAGAACACATTTACTGTGACGTCTACTGCATCGCCAACGAGCGACACCATGACACTGTTACAAGCGAGGTGATTTCCGCGTCGGGCGAGGGGCTCGTTTTATACACCGCCGAAGACTTGGTAAACCCTCTGCACGAGTCTTCCCTCAGCCGTCGTTCATCGCAGCAGGGGGGCTCGGATGGCGCAGCCGAAGCGCAGCCGTGCCGGGTGTGCCTTGACAGGAAAACGATGGCACCCTTGCCATGCTGCCGGAAGCTGGTGTGTGACGAATGCCTGACACTGTACGTCACCTCCCAGGTGGGTAACAAGTGGGCTTGACTTAGATTTTTTTTAATACAAGAGTTCTTTGGCTGATTTTATTTATCTTGAGATAAGAGCAAAAATTTGAGATACAAGTGCACTTCAAACCTCCACTGCTAGATGCTGTCAATGCTCGCCTTTTAAGTCTTTACAGGTGATTCTTATAGAAGCCCAAAAGTGCTTGGAATCAAACACTTTTGTTGCATTTTGAACCTATTCCAAAATAGACCGAAGATATTTCAAGAAAAACAACATCCCTGAACAAATTCACAGGCTGAGAACTCTGAAGGGTGCATTTTCAGCCGAATGTCGGCACTTCCAGCGTAACTCCATCACACGTGGTTTCCAAATTCGAAGAAGACAATTCGCAGGCCTCCATTGACTGCATAACTCCTGGCGAATTTGGACCTCAGTGCGGTCAAGTTGCACTGGAAATGACGTCCTGCGTCTGAAAATGCGGCCTAAAGGAGGACTAAGCCCGTGAATTTGGAAACAGCCACAGTCTTCGTACATAAGTCTTTTTTTTTTTCTTGAAAGCAAGTCCAAAATTGATAAGAATGTTAACAGTCATAGTTTGACATCATCATTTGAATAAATCGATTAATACGTCAGTTATTTTTCGAATAATTGTTGAAGCATATTAGTAAAGCATTTTTTTTTTTTTTTTATTTCAAAGTGACTGCAGAAAACGCACACATTCTGAAATTGGCAAAATTGTTGATAATTGTCAACTGATAAATTGTAGGACCTCTTACAGCATTTTTGATACGCTTTATGCCGATTGTCACCGATCTGTGACACATCCCCCCCTGTGATCAACGCACATTTGCTCCAAACTTTCAACTCCGTGCACCTGGCAACACATGTGTTCGAAACATGTGGCGCACAGATGAACCAACCTGACCAGTTCGGTGGCGTTTTTTTTTTTTTTTTTTTTTTTTTTTTCCTTTTCTTGTTATGCCCAAAATACCATGGCATCACATCAGTGCGTCTGACCTGTAATAGACTTCCACTCCTGAATACGCCCCACTTTACGGTTATGTAAAAAAAAAAAAAAAAAAATTAACCCACTTATGTGTGCCTCGTTGAATCAGCACCAGAGCTCCATGTGAGAAAATGCAGCATTTTAAGAGGCTGTAATACTTCACGGCTTTCATAATCTGTTGGGGCACAGTTATTACAAAACAGCTCCCATTTCCCAGATTGATGAGATGTTGTGGTTCTTTGCATATGTATTCCCGCATGCTTCAAGTCACTTTGAACTGGGGATCTCGCGCGTCCGTGCGATTGTGTGCATTTCGTAGATGGAGGTTTGCTACACTGACAGACATTTGCTTCTGGACTTCTTAAGCCGCCTCCTCCAGCCTTCCATTTATGTAACACTTAATAGCATCGTGAATTATGAACCATTTCCCGTCAGGACTACTCCCCATGCCTAATTGCATCAAATCCAGAAACGCACTAAATGATTGTGGCTTTCGTTATCCAGGTCCAAGTGGGCAAGGTGCACATCCGCTGTCCCATCTCGGAGTGCAACGGGATGCTGGAGAACACGATGGTGGTCTCGCACCTGGCCGGCGAGGACGTGCTCAGGTACCGTTACTTCCTGGAGCTGAGTCAGCTGGACTCCAGCACCAAGCCCTGCCCCCGCTGCAGACACTTCACTTCCCTCGGCCGCTCCAGCCCCGCGCGCGTGGAGAACAAGTACAAGGTGAACGGCGTATTGGAGAACCGCCATTTTGGGTCGGGACCGTGCAGGTCCTACTCATTTTGATGTTATAGCCAGCTTACAAAATGGAGTAAGAGTACAGTTTGTCCTTCAAATTCTAGACATAATGCCTCATGATGTCGAAAAAATCCCTTAACAATAAAACGATTCACAAAAAACAATCTCAGAGCTCAATTGTGAGTATGAAACAAGTCATGAATCAGGAAAGGTTTCCCAAAACAGGTTTCTTCATTTGAATTTTTTTCGATAGATTTTGGATTGCAACCATAAAACGTATCACTTGTAAACACATATCTAGCGGTGAAAGTCTGAAGCGCACTTGTATTTCACATTTTTTTTGCTCTTATCTCAAGATAAAATAAAATCAGCCAAATAACAGCTTATATTAAAAAAAAAATAATAAAGTAAATCAAGGCATTCATATCTCAGGGCACCACTGCAGTTGTGTGCACATTTTATTTTAAGAAAACCTTTTTGTCTCACAATGGAGAAATTCCCAATTGACAGCAGCAAAATGATGAAAGGGAGAAGTAGAAGAACAAAAAGTGTGTGTGTGTGTGTATATATATATATATATATATATATATTATAAAATATAAGTAAGCATATTAAAATGTTATTTTAATTGGGAATTTTAAGGGAGTTTTTTTTTTAATCAGTTTTGTATTCTCAGCTAACATACAATACAGGAGTTGTCAAAAAAGGTGGATGATTAAGAATGGGAAGTTTTTTTTTTTTTTTTTTAATGTTATAAAAGAACAAAAAAAAGTTCATTACAGCTTTATCAGGAAGAAAATGTGAGGGAATAGTGGTGACAAATGGTTACGCAAATATTTTTGTATCATTACATTTGCAAAAAAAAAAAATCTGTTTTTACATTGCAAGGGGCATAAAATAAAAATATTCATCTTTTGGAATGACATACAGTACACACGATGATGCAACTCGATACGATTGTGCTAACCGGCATGGAAAACGGGAGTTGAGAACTAGCGGCGTTGTGACGCAGGTGCAGTGCGGCAGCTGCCAGTTTGTGTGGTGCTTCAAGTGCCACGCGCCCTGGCACCAGGGCATCAAGTGCCGCGACTACCGCAAGGGCGACAAGCAGCTGAGGAGTTGGGCCTGTGTCATCGAGCGCGGACAACGCAACGCTCAAAAGTGCCCCAAGTGCAAGGTACTCACCCCGCTCCGCTTTTCGAAAACCGCTCAAGAATTCCGCCATACGCAAAATCTGAACATATAAACTGACACGTACAACAAAAGAGAATTCAGCATTCTGTATCTTTCATGGGCAACGCGTTCACTCAAACCACATGAATCCATTCAACGGCTCTGCTAGCTCAATGCGAAGATATCACGCGAAACACCATAGACAGGCTAAGGGAAATTAGCATAGATGTTATGTAATCATAAAGCATCGGGGGACTCATAAAAACAGGTACACGGTGATATGAAAAGTATACACACCCGTGTTGAAAGGCCAGATTTTGTGATTAAAAAAAAAAGACCAAGATAAAGAATATCAAAATGTTTTCTATCATGAATGTGACCTCTGACCTGTATAAGTCAATTGGGGGGGGGAGGGGGATATTTGTAAGGGGAAGTAAAATTAAGCAACTAAGCTAAATGAGATTGTTTGCAATTACAGTAACTCGGCACATAACTGGCACCATTTAAATTAACCTCAAATAAAGTTCAGCTGTTCTAGGTATATAAATCATTGTTACGTTATTTTAGTTAACTTTGAGTATTTAAAAAAAATAGAATTAACTTAGTTTGACTATATTTTTTGTGCTTTACTGGGCTTTATTTTATTGCACTTTATTTTGTACTTGGTTTGAGGGTTTTTTTTTTCACAGCACCATATTTTTACTTTTTTCGCAATTTTTTCATATTGCATATTAGTTATTGCTCTTTGTTGTCAAATATGTACCCAAAAAGTTTTGAAAATGATTATTTTTTTAAAAAAAATAATGTTATGAATGCCTAAAAGCAGAAACTAGCCGACGCTGGCCCAGAGTGAACTTAAGCCGCTCTCTGTTTGACTGCAAAGTCCAGTAAGCTGATGTCAGCCTGCACTTAGCTGGGCTTAGTGCCCATTTACTACCAAAGTAGCACGGAGGCCATTAACAGTGCACTTGTGCATACTGGATGTGTTGGACTTTGGTGATTGACAGCTGTCCGTCTTTGTGTTTGTGTGTGTGTGTGTGTGTGTGTAGATCCACATCAAGCGCACGGAAGGATGCGATCACATGGTCTGCACGCAGTGCAACACCAACTTTTGTTACCGCTGTGGCGATCGATACCGTCAACTCAGGTAACATTTCTTTTCAAAGACGAACATCATTCAGTTCAAAACGTTCATTGGTTCCGAAGAAAAATACAATGATGAATCACATTTATTTTCAAATGGTTCGATCGATGAGAAATCATTGCAAATTAACTCAGATTAACCTCATCTGTGCACACGCACGAATGAGGTATATTTGAAAACTGTCGAAAAAGAATTGTAAGAATTAAACTCAGTAATAATGTCATTTATTCATAAGTCAATATTTTATTATTAGCTATTCAAGCTATTTTAAAGCGACAAATTCAAGCTGTGGTAACATAAAAAAACATTTACATAAAATGTAATTCAATTTAAACATTAAAAAAAATAATTCGATGAAGTACTGCAAGGATGTGATGTTTTATTGAATTGATAATTTAATGCGATATTTGGAATTTACTCATTAAAACTCAGGTAACCAAAAAAAAAAAAAAAAAGAATTTCTCTTTTGTTTTTACTTCACCAGGTTATTTAAATCCTATCATTTAAAAAAAATCGTTTTTGTTTTTACTTAACCAAGTTATTTAAATACTATCATAATTTTTTTTTTTAATTACCAAATCTGAATTTCTGTTTTTTTGTTGTTTTTACTTAACCAAGCTATTATTTAAACCCTATCATTTTAAAAAAATATTTAAATCCTATTTAAAAAGAAAAAAAAAACATTTTGTGGGAGTGAGGGTCATATTTCTCACATCAATTTCATCCCTTCAACCCCTTGCTTTTGAGGTCAGGTATTTCGGGGATCACACGTCGAACCTCAGCGTGTTTGGCTGCAAGTATCGCTATCTGCCAGAGAAGCCGCATCTAAGACGCTGTATCAGAGGTTCCATCTGCGGTGAGTTTTTTTTTTTTTTGCACCCCCCATGCGTATTGATATTTTTTCCGAGCCGGTGGAATCTCATTGTCAAACGGTTGCGGGGAGGTTGTACCATTTCCCATTTGTTGGTCAGGAAACAATTGGGATGACGGAAAACGTCAAAGTCGGCTCTACGCGGTCGGGGCTGGTGACGATGTCGTGAGTTGTAAATGTGCTGTGGTGGTTTGTTGTGTTGTGTGTCAGGCGTGAAGTTGCTGTTGGCGCCACTGGTCCTGTTACTGGTGCTGGTCTTGGGAGGCGTGGCGCTCGTCATAGGTAACGGCCTGCTATTTGAGCCACATTGGAAAATGCATTCTCAGAAGATTTTAGTTTGGAAAATAGGATTGTATTTATTTTATTTATTTTTTTATCTTGAAAAGTGTCCACTTTTATTTTCAAAATATTGCAATTTTTAAATCTTGACAATACTGTTTTTTTTTAATCATTATTTGTATTCGGAATTAAATTTTGGCAACATGGCTCATCTTAAACATTTAAAAAAAAAATCTACCAAATATGGCTAATTTCTCCTAAATATTGGAAACTAATCTGAATTGTAGTAGTAAGTTGTTTTTTTTTTCCCATAAAATGTAATTTTTGTCAAACTTTTTTTCTCAAAAATATACACAACTTTATTTTTGGACTATGAGAACTTTAATCCAATTTTTTTTTTTCATGACAACTTTTTATTGTTGTAAATGCAACTTAATTCTTGTAAATATTCACAGTAACCTAAAAAAATCTCGCTTTTTGTACGATCACAGCTATAATCTCGGAATGTTAACTTTTTTCTGTCAAGGAGACTTCATTCTTGTAAATAAGACACCAATCCTCAAAATACACGACTAATACAGTGTGATTTTTATTTATTTTTTTAAGTTTATCTTTGCTACATTACACACACTGTGTGCTTAATGTTTTCGCCTTGTGCATTTCCCTTTTCAAAATGAAACTATGACTGTCGCGCGCGCGCGCGCGCTAACGACATCTGTGTGCAGGTGTGATCGCCTACCCCGTCTACTACGTGTGCAAAAAGAGGACGAAACGGCGCACTCTGGGCTCCTGGCGCTCTTGACGTTGGCGTGCAAGAACAAGCAGCGAGACGGAACTCAGGGTCTCCGGAAGACGCGGAGCATCTACATCCACGGTCATCCTTTTTTGCTGGGGAAGTTTTTGCACGCAAGGCTTAAAAGCGCACCCGACATGACATGAGTGAGGAGGCGGGGTCAGGTTGATGGTTGATTGCCCGCCATCCAGCACACAGGTACGACTACAGACATTGGAGAAAAGATGGTAATTTCGCATTTGGGGCACACGGGCACAAAAAAAGTGGATATGTGTTCATGCAACAGCCTTGGAAATCAGAATTGTCTTTTCTTTTTCTTAATGGGAAAGACTTTTGTTCTATAATTGCTCCCATGCGTAGCTTTCATAACACTGGTCAAGATTTTTTTTTTTTTTGAATCATGGATGCAAGAAAATTTTGTGCCGATTCCGAATCCACCCTCATTTTTCCTTGAGCACTCAGTTTTCGCAAAGCGCTTTGGGCACCATTATCATGTACATTCAGCATTATTCAGTACACACCATCATAATAAATATAGGAAAGTAGAATTATTGGTCATATTTATGGATGGAGGACACAACGGATTAATTGCATTCTCTCGTCTCATGGCACTATTTGGCTCCCATTTTATGGATCAACACAAAAGTGAATGTACATGTGACAAAGAGTAGAGAACACCCACAACATTTAAAAAGACCCTTACTTGAAAGTGAAAGAAAGTCGGCCATTTTGGTTTGAAACGGACGTTTTTGGACACGTGTTAGGCCGACTCCCCAAGTTGGAGTTTGGAGTTCAGCCGGCCTTCCTGCCTCGTGTGCGCCCACACGCCAGGATGTGCCTCATCATCATCACACACACACACACACACACACACACACACACACACACACACACACACACACGCACACACACACACACACACACACAAAAAAAACGAAACTGCCAAGTCGGCAGGCTGCTTGTATTGTGCCAAAACAAACACGCCAAACGCGCCGGGATTGGAAACCTTGCGGGATCAAGTCTGTCGGACGCCGTGTGGTTGGAAGGCTTTGGACGGTCACGTGGGACTTTTTGCCACATTTTGCACCCGTTTGCCAAAACGGCAGCGATGACGTTAATCCTCGTCGAGACACATTACTGCCACAGTAACTATTGTGTGTCCACTGGGTTATATTTAGAAATACAGGCGTGTGAGCTGAGAAGTCAAGTCATGCCAACAGGAACTACATGCATAACATACATTATCTGTAATTAAGCTTGACACAAAGGACTGCATTAGAAGGCCGCAATAGGTTGTGAGAAAAAGTTAGCAATGCTACAGAAAAAAAAAAAAGTCAAAATGTCCCCCCCCTAAAAATTGGGATGTTGCGCAACATACTGAGTTGCAATGTAAGAGCAAAAAGGTGTCGGGAGGAAAGAAAATCGGAAGCAAAATCAAGTTTGGTTGCAGGAAACAAATTGGAATATTACGGGAAACAAGACGTAATGTTGCTTGAAATGCGTCATAGTGGTGAGAAAATTTGTAAACTCATAAAAAAAAATAAAGTCCGAATGTTACAAGAAAAAAAAATTGTATTAGTGCAAGGAAAAAATTGTTTAAGGAAAGAATCTAAGGGGGAAGTGTTTCGGTAAAAAAAAAAAAAAAAAAAAACACGAAATAATCTGTAATGTTACTTGAAAAGCATCAGAATGTCAGGAAAAATGAAGTATGACAATCAAAATATTGTCACGTTTTCAATAAAAATTGAACACTGAAAAACATTGAGATTCTAAGACAAAAAAAAAGTCCAAATATTACAAGAAAAGTCTTCATGTTACGAGAAAATAACATTGTGATGTTACAAAGGTGGAAAAAAATGGTAAACCTACAAAAAAGGTCAAAATATTTGACAAAAAACGTGAAGGCCATAGCTTTAACATTTTTTGTCCAAGATTTTTTTGGGGGCAAGGGGGGCGGATGGAGAAAGTTATTCAATGAAAAAGTTGCAAAGCTCCATTTAAAATAAATAGTCTTAGTTTCAATCGGAAAATGTTCAGAAACAAAATGTGGTTTGACATTCCGATAAAAATTCCAAACAATGACAATTTCCTTTGTGGAGTTCTTTCGAACATGCCAACTTTATTCTGGTTGAAATCACAATTTCGGATGCTGGTCGTATTTGTAACTTTGTTTTTTCTCTTTTTTTTTATGTTGTGGTTGAAATGGTGCCTATTGTCACATATGCAAATGGCCGTTTGTATGGATGCCGTGATAAAAAAATTGAATACAGAATTTTCCATAGATGGATTTAAAGTGACCCAATCCAGGTTCTGTGCTGCATCCCCAAATACGACACCCTTGTACTTTTGCACATATTCAACAAGTTAAAGGCCTGCTTATTTACAACTCAATGACTGTACGTAGAATACGATGGACAAATATGAATATTAACGTTGCACTACAGCAGACATCTTGAAGTCGATTTTGCGGGCATGTGACCAACAATGGTAGCTTTCAATGAAAATGTGGAAGAAGGTGAATAAAGTCAAGTCACCCTGGTGGGACATTTGCTGGACTGTTTGTTCCGAATGCAATTGCAGTTTGTGGTCAACAGAGGGCAGCAGCGCACCGTGGCAGGTGCTAGCCAACGCACTGATCCTCCCGAGTTATGACAATGGTCGGCGGGCGCCCCCTGTCGGCGGGGATTGGGACGAACCGGCCCGCCAAAAGCAAAATTCCGTCCATTTGGAATGCTAATGCCCTAATACTACTTTAAATCTGTAATTTGAGACCCAAACCGAGTTTTAACCTTAAGGTGGCCAATAGTTGCTGTATATCATTGAAATCAAATGCAATAGATAGTTGGCAAGATGTCTTAAATCTCGGAATGGTCCGAGAGAGGAAACGAAGCCTGGGAAATTGTGTTTGGGGGTGGCACCTTATACTGTTTTGCAGAAAAATGGGTGACATGTCAACAGTGAAAAATAAATAGCTATTTGGTGTGAATAATTAACTTCTCAATCTCCTTGTATAACAATAGTACCTTATTCAAATCCAGAAACATAAATGTAAGAAATAAGCAAGTGTCCTAACTAAGTTAGAGTCCTTAGTCCCTTGTAGTAGGGAGTGTGTGTCAGGGACGGCTACAAGAGCCTCCTACCAGTGGCCAGCCCGGATAGAGCACGTGGTGGAGTTCCTTGGAGTAATTTCCAGTGGCTTGGTTTAAGTTGATCTGAGTTGAATCTTCTAGGGCTCCGTCCAAGCCTTTCCTTAGCTCTCTATCATCAAATGGAGCCTGGCCTATATATAAAAAAAAAAAAAAAAAAATTTAATAAATTAACATCTAATCAATCTGTGTGTACATGGATCAATTCAACACATAATGCATAAATGACACGTTCTAACAGTGAACAAACAACACAATTGGAAAATAAAAGTACAGCCTTTGCTGCTCTTTCAGGTGGCATTGGTCTTCTAGACCAGGGGTCCCCAACCGCCGGTCCGCGGACCGGTACCGGTCCGCAGGGCATTTGGTACCGGGCCGCACAGAAAGAACTTGCCTTAATTCCGTTTTATTTCGGAATACGAAAGATGTTTTATTTTGAAAAATTACCGGATTCTCCGTTACATCCGTCTGTGTCACGCTTGACACACGTCAAGCCACGCTTTCCCCCGTCACGTGACCGATTCCGCTTAAAAACAAAACACCAGAGCTCGCAAAATGAGTAAAAAAACTGCTGGAGATCAAATGACAGCGGCCTTAAAAGTACGTTCGAGACAACTGGATAAAAGTTATGGCTGAATATTCTGAGATCGCCACAGTAGCACTGTTGCTATTTCCGACATCCTACCTGTGTGAGGCGGGGCTTTTCTGCAGCAACGGCGACTAAAACAAAATTACGAAGTAGACTTGACGCAAAACACACACTTGAGGTGTCATTGTCTCCTATTACTCCGAGATGGGACCGTCTGGTTGCAGAAAATCAAGCTCGGGGCTGTGGTGAGTCGTCATTTTCATGCACTTTGAATTTGCATTGCATCGTATTTTGAAGGCATTAAACATGACCATAGCGATCAGAGTGTTGCGGCCAGATTAGACGCTCCTTGTGTTTATTATTATATTTCGAAAACACCACAGTTTTCATGCAGCTCATACCATATTAGTTTGTTGTATTATTTCCGCCACACCTTAATTGCCGGTCCCTGAAAATATTGTCTGACATAAACAGGTCCGTGGGGCAAAAAAGGTTGGGGACCCCTGTTCTAGACCACAGGTGTCAAACCAGATCTGGCCTGACACAAAGTGGCCGGCAAAAGCAAATCATGAATGTCAACAAACAAAAAACATGACAAATTTTCTTAGCCTTCAAAAAGCATTTTTTGTTCCCGGGTCCCCTTTCAAAATATAATGAATAATCGCTCAACACTTTTCATGAGCTACTGATTTTGAATTTAGTTATCCATCAATTTGTTGAGTTTTTGAAAGATGAGGTGAACTTAGGTTTATATGCTTTGACAGTTACACCGACCCTGCGAGGGAAACCATAATTACAATGTGGCCCACAATAAAAATTAGACGGATTCTTAACATTTTTATTTTCTTGCCATGTCCCTAAATTAAGATTGATGTCATGAAAGCGAATGCAACCGGACCGATATAAAACCATAGGAGCGGCGAATGCACTGACGTCTTGCGACACACCAACTTTCCTTTTCTAATCAACACGAAGGTCAGTCGACTATACAGAGAGAACAGGTAGGTTTTCAAATAACGAGATTGTAGCAGACAGATTTAGGACGAAAAAGCGTGTAAAAACCCACCTCGGGCGGCAAACTTTCGTACCCTGGAGGGCTCCGCTATCCTGCATGTTTTCCATCTCTCCCTGTGGCAACACACCTTGTACAAATGAACCGAATCAATACCAGGTTTCTGCAGCGCTCTCTGATGATTTGAATCAGGTGCGTTGCAACAGGGAGAGATGGAAAACACGCAGGATGGCGGCGCTCCAGGATCAGAGCTTGACACCTATGCTAACTCAAGTGTAAATTAAGTTTAGTGGTAACCCCGGGTTCGTTATTTCTTTTTTTTATGGATTGCTCTACTTTACGAAACGGCAAAAGGAGAGATGGATTCCGTTTGAACGCAGCTTTATTGAAAGGACGTCTGCACCGCATCACGATCGAAAAAAAACACTCTTCTCGGCAACTAAATCACTTCCTGCTTTTGCTAACTTCAACAGCCAATCAGAAGCCTTCAACATAAAAACACGTCGAAGCAATTATTACACAGAATGTAATTTAAGTCATCTTAACATGAAATGTCTTCACCCCAAGGCAAAAAAAAAAAAAAAAATCACTGCCATTTAAATCACGTTGATAATTTATTCGCCCAAAACAAGTACAAACAAGCATGTCAAGTGAAAGATTGTGCACCAGCTTGATTCCACCCAGCAATAAAATATGAAGAAAAAGTCGTTCGTAGTGAACAGCATGGAGTCGCCCATCTCTGGTTGATTGCTGTGTTTTGGTCCAAAGTTTTCACACTCATCCAGTAGCGAAAAACACGACGGCGTCAAAATCATGTCCATTTCCCCAAACTGAATCCTATAAACACTTGTATCTGAAATTATATTTCGGCACTGGAATGAATGCAAATGCGAATCATCCCTTCCTGCCTCACTAAAACAAGCAAAAACAACAACAATAATAATAAAAATAATAAAGCTGCAACGTGTTTTTAAGACGAAAAATATCACTTCTTCATATAAAAACAAAGTCAGGACATCTGTCAACTGTGCTTGCCATAGTGCTGCTTTTTTTTCTGATGTGCGCACCGTGGCCACGCGGGGGCAGTATAATACAAACAAACTAAAAAGAAAAAAAATCGACGGCTTGGATCTCGAAACATACGTTTGTCGGATATCTCAAGGCACCACTGTATTGATTGTACAATGCTAGACATACACATGAACATAGGACACGTTTCATAGAATGAGAAAACAGAATTTAGCAGACCATAAAAATTAAACATAATGCAGTATGACATTTACTCTGAGAATTACAGTAGAATTTTAAAGAAAAAAAATAGTTTGCAAAATTTGGCCGGTCATTTAACTGTATGATCATTTGTCGTGAAAAGCGGAGTTTGCTACTTAAAAAAAAAAAAAAAACGAGGTGGGCAGGCCATAGGCAGCCGTTATTCATCAATTAATTTGTAATCATTCATTCATTTCCTAATAATGACCATTTATTTATTTACAGTTACAGTATTGGCACTGCTGCGAAACGCTTAAGTCTATAACTTGTACTTGTCTATAGCTGCCACAAGATGGCAGCAAAGCATTACTGCTTTTATTAGGCAGGGTTTTGGGGTGTCTAAAATTCCTCCCTGCAATTTAAGTTTTGCAGATGATTTTTTTTTTTTTTTGCGGCTGATTCAGAATCTGCCCTCGTTTTTTTTCCCAGCACACCAGGTTTTCCTAATAATAACAATGACTTTCCAACAATAATATCATGTTTTTTGTAATATATTGAGTCAAATTTATGACAAAAGGGTTGAAGTGTCATAGCTATAAATTACAATACCGATAAAATCCGCATTGCATTAGGTTTTATAGGTCCTGATGTGCGCACCGTGGCCACGTGGGGGCAGTATAATACAAACAAACTAAACAACAAAACAAGAAAAAAAATCGACGGCTTGGATCTCGAAACATACGTTTGTTGGATATCTAAAGGCACCAATGTATTGATTGTACAATGCTAGACATACACATAAACATAGGACACGTTTCATAGAATGAGAACACAGAATTGAGCAGAACATAAAAATTAAACATAATGCAGTATGACATTTACTCTGAGAATTACAGTCGAATTTTAAAGAAAAAAAATACAGTTAGCAATATTTGGCCGGTCATTTAACTGTATGACCATTTGTCGTGAAAAGCGGCGTTTGCTGCTTAAAAAAGAAACAAAAAAACGAGGTGGGCAGGCCATAGTCAGCCGTTACTCATCAATTCATTTGTAATCATTCATTCATTTCCTAATAATAACCATTTATTTATTTACAGTTATTGGCACTGCTGCGAAGCGCTTAAGTCTATAGCTTGTACTTGTCTATAGCTGCCACAAGATGGCAGCAAAGCACTACTTTTTTTTCCTAGGCAGGGTTTTGGGTTGTCAAATTCCTCCCTGCAATTTAAATTTTGCAGATGATTGTTTTTTTGCGGCTGATTCAGAATCTGCCCTCGTTTTTTTCCCAGCACACCAGGTTTTCATAATAATAACAATGACTTTCCAACAATAATATAATGTTTTTTAGTAATATATTGAGTCAAATTTATGAAAAAAGGGTTAGGTTGAAGCATCATAGCTATAAATTACAATGCCGATAAAATCCGCATTGCATTAGGTTTTATAGGTCAAAATGAAAAACAAACAAAAAGTGAAAATATCGATCAAAAGCGATGTGCCTGAAAAAGAAAGTAAAGCCTTTTTTTTTTTTTAATCCGTGTCAAAAATACTTTTCAGGACACACATGTCTGATTCGAATTTTCTGTTTTTCTCACTTCTTTTTCTCCGTTCTTTTTGCTCACGCGTGCTGGTTCATCTCCAGCCCGCCGAATTTTAAAGAAAAAAAATACAGTTAGCAATATTTGGCCGGTCATTTAACTGTATGACCATTTGTCGTGAAAAGCGGCGTTTGCTGCTTAAAAAAGAAACAAAAAAACGAGGTGGGCAGGCCATAGTCAGCCGTTACTCATCAATTCATTTGTAATCATTCATTCATTTCCTAATAATAACCATTTATTTATTTACAGTTATTGGCACTGCTGCGAAGCGCTTAAGTCTATAGCTTGTACTTGTCTATAGCTGCCACAAGATGGCAGCAAAGCACTACTTTTTTTTCCTAGGCAGGGTTTTGGGTTGTCAAATTCCTCCCTGCAATTTAAATTTTGCAGATGATTGTTTTTTTGCGGCTGATTCAGAATCTGCCCTCGTTTTTTTCCCAGCACACCAGGTTTTCATAATAATAACAATGACTTTCCAACAATAATATAATGTTTTTTAGTAATATATTGAGTCAAATTTATGAAAAAAGGGTTAGGTTGAAGCATCATAGCTATAAATTACAATGCCGATAAAATCCGCATTGCATTAGGTTTTATAGGTCATAATTAAAAACAAACAAAAAGTGAAAATATCGATCAAAAGCAATGTGCCTGAAAAAGAAAGTAAAGCCTTTTGTTTTTTTTTTTAATCCGTGTCAAAAATACTTTTCAGGACACACATCTCTGATTCGAATTTTCTGTTTTTCTTGTTTTTGCTCACGCGTGCTGGTTCATCTCCAGCCCGCATGCCGCATCCTTCTTCTTGTCGCTTTGTCCCAGAGCCTCGGCCTCCTTCAAGGTGGACGTTAGGGGCTTGCCCAGCGTCTCAGGCAGCATCAACGTCAGGATGCCGATGATGAAAGCCAGGATACCCACGATGAGCTGACAACACATTTGGAAAAGACCACAAGGGCGTTTTAAAAAGAAAAACCCAAAATATGACAATCAAGCGTTACATTTATGAGGTCCTCGTGACAAGAATAGAGTTAAAATCTGAAATGAACCAAACAAACGGGTTGGTGATCAAGTCATAATATTCCAACAAAAATGGTACGAGAATCAAATCAGAAATATTGCTGGAGTATAAAAATCACGCTAAATGCCCAATATTGTGAGCAGAAACCTGAGGCAGGTAGATCCAGACGTCGGCCAGGTACACGCAAAACGGTGCCACCACACTACCTACGCGACACATCATGCTGCCGCTACCCACTGCCAGAGACCTACAACCCAAGAAGAAAAAAAAATTAGTTCGCAAAGGTGGGGAAATACTCTGTACTTAGACGTGCAGATACTTGTCTTAAAAAGAAAAAAAAAAGACTACAGTAAAAGTCAGGATTCAACTCCTGCACTACAGTAAAAGTAAAGGTAGAGGATAGAACGCAGTCTTGATGTGACCGTAGCGTTTACCTGATGATAGTGGGGTAAAGCTCACAAGTGTACAGATAGATGAGACCGAAGGCGATGGCGATGGCGAACTTTCCGATCATGCTGAGAGCGATGGCCAGGGCCTCGATGTCCTGCAAAAGGAGCACACAAACAAATGATGCCTTGAAACATGCACCCAAGCTTTCCTTTCATTTTTATCCCCTGAAGTCACTGAAGAAAGAAAACAGGGATTGATTTTTTGAGAAAATCTTTTAGTTCAACTTTTTTTATTTTCAAATAATTTTTTTAGTTTGGAATGTGTACCCTAAATTCAATGAACTTTGCACTACTCCTTCTAGTGTGCACATCTTGGCCACCTGGGGGCAGTATAATATAAACACACAAATCGTTCATGAGCATGAACTCTCCTCTGTAAGTCGTAGTAATGCTAGTCGTTCTTTGCAGAGGATAAAGAATGCACGCCTGTGAGCATTGTTATATTATCTGTCTACATGTGTTGCTTTGAGCAATAGCACGCCATTATGTGCTAGCATCGAGCTAGCAGACTTTAAAGCAAAGCTATGTGTTTTTTTTTAAATACACATGTAATTCTCTTGATTTCATATTAAACCCCAAAAAAAAAAATAATTCAAAAGACTGCTTATGATCTGGAAAAACACACGTCGGCTGACTAGTATCTCAAAGCACCGCTGTACTGTCATTTAATGTCTTTGAATGGAAGCCGGAGAGGCTGCAAGTAGGTCAAGGGGCACCTCAGAAACGGACAGTGACACCTGGGCCCCGGGGGACGTCCGCTAAAAATACATTCAAGGGAGGGTTGATCCTCATGCTGAGATGATTTATTTTTAAACCCGCATCTTTTATTTCTTTCTGTTGAACGCCACACAGCCAGGAAGGCGCATTGTATTGCGTTACCAGCGACACGACTGGTAAGTCGGGCTGTTGCCATGGAAACTCAGCCATTAGTGGGTTGGCTTTTGACGTGTGTGGCTCTGTTTTCCAAGGTTAACTTCTGTTTGCCATCTCAGCCACGACCTGACTGTATCAAATAACACACACACACACTTGGTACATACAGCAGGGACCAGTATGATAAGCATGCACGCAACCCCCGCCAGCAGCAAGGCCGGGGCACATGTCTTCTTGCGTCCAATGCGGTCCATGGCAAAGCAGCCCACCAGATAGGAGGGAAGCTCCACGGCACCTGTCGGCAGCCAATCACAGCAACAGCCCTGAGTCAGCACTTCCTGAGTCAGCACAGAGACACACACCGCGGCGCACACTACCCGGAAAGCCACGAATAACTGGATGCCATTTAAAACACTTAATTGTGTGTGTGTGCTTGTGTGTGTGTGTGTGTGTGTTTTCAGATGGTCAGTGACTGAAAGGCGAATGGAAAGCTCAATTCATGTGACCCATTGCAATTGAATCAGTTATCTTTGGTAACGTAGCTGGCAAAGTACGAAATTGTAATCGGAGATAAAAATATAATTTCGGCTACATTTTATTATTTATGTCAAAATAATTACTTTATCTTAACTTGATTTTATGTTTATGATTCCACATGTTCGATGTCAGATTTACATAATATTAACTGAAATTTTTTTTCAATTGTATTTTCATATGTTGGGATATTCCACGGTGTTTTTAACGAACATTAATATCAATCATTATTTTGACAGGAAAAAGAGGGTTTTAAAAATATGTTTTTATGTTGTTACGTACACCCATCCATCGTCATACATTTAATGTATAAGTTAATACATAATAAGAATGTCAAAAAAATACTTTTAAACAAAATATAATTATTTTTACATAAATGTTAAATGATACAAATTATTTAATTCAGATATGTTGGTTTATTCTAAAACATCATGATGTCATTTTTAGTTAATTTATTATTATTATTTTTTTTTATTTGTCAGAAAATTATGAATCCATTCATTTTCATTATGTTCCGATGGACGCCCCCAAAAAAGCGTATACACCAAGTGTACATTTTCATGATTTTTTTTTAACCTCTTAATAATTTGGCAAAAATTCATTCAAAAATTTTTTTTTTTTTTCCTCCAAGCTAAAAGGCTCTTCTAACCCGCCAATATGTGGAAAAAGTGAAGTGCTCCGACT